ATTTCTCATTCCTACTACTTTTCTTGTCCGCCAATCACCGCGTCACTAAACAAGGATAGAGACTCGGGTGAAAGCATCTATCCTCGTCCGAAGTTTGACCATTCTTTCTGCACAGAAAAGATACGGGACGCGCAGTCTATTTCTTATATGTCTATGTTCAACGCACAAACTAATATTTAACGTAACGTAACGTTAATTACTAGTCATAAACTTAAATTTGTATGTAAACTTGAACTTTATTCAACGCACAAACTAGTACTTAACGTAACGTAACGCGTTAAGAAAGAGTTTGTGCGGAGGCCCTAAGTATCAGTCGTGATTGGTCCATTCTGCTAAACGATTAATGCGACTGGCAATTCCAATGGAATAATCGGCCGATTAAGTTAATCAAAGATGGTGAAAACGGGCGTTATTGGTTAGCTGGGGATTTTGCAAAGAAGATAGAAAGCGTATCGGTGAAAAGATCAGCTATTCGATTATCTTTCGTATAGTAAAGTCCTGTTTATACGAGCAACCGTTAATTTATACCGGAACCGGTACAGTTCAATAGGATTTAGACGTAGAATAGCACATGAACAAGTATCAAGATTCACGAAGTCATAAGAGCACCAAACCAAACCAAAGTTCAATAGAATCAAGTCTATAGGATTTTAATGCTTCTATTTGTACAAAATTGTCAAATGTGTATAAATAAAAATATTAAAATCCTTGAACTTTACCAGTTCCGGCATAAGTTAACAGGTATTGCTCGCATAAACAAGGCCAAAAATCTTGTATAAGCCGGTATTTATATAGTCGAATATCTTATATTTAAGATCGTCTTAAGTTTATTTCGATTCGGTCCGTTTCAATAATATGTATCTACATTCGCAATCATAATATCGAATAAAATTTTGACAGAATCACATCACAAGAAAATCATAGGACAAGCAATAATGTTACGACACAATAATAAATGAAGAAAGATTTTTCACAAAAAAACCTGGATTAATTGAAAACTTGATACAATGTATTTTCTACTGTATTTATCAAATATAAAGAATGGTAGTTTTCGTTACATACCTTTTCACTGCTGCTCCTTTTCGAGACAGTCTTTTGGCACTCAGAGATTTATGGTTTTGTGTGTTTTTGTAGTTTCCCATTTTATAATTTTTACTACTCTATTTCTATGTTATATGTCTATGCACAAAAACTGGTTTTTGATCATTAATTCAAAGTTGTAAAAGAAAAAATTTATAAGAAAAATATATAGTACAAAAAATTAAAAGGAAATTGTTTCACATATTTAATTGGAGGTTCGATTTAATTCGAGTTTCAACCGACTAACTCGAATGAAAAGACCGGAAAAAATCTTAAGATGTTGAGCAAATTCGAAATCTCCTGTTTGCAATCTCTGACCGCGAGACTGAGTTGGTTATTTGTTTCCCAATACTGTCTTGTTAGATTAGGTTAGGGTTAGGTTATACACATACACACACGTACTATCGTGTGACTATTGACAGAGAGAAATCTAAGTGACCATCTCATTGTAATTTCTTACAACAGTTTCGGCCGCTACTTTCAGCGTCAACATTAAAAAATGTAGATGTAAAGTCTATTCTATATCAAGCGCAACACAAACGCAAGTAACAAGTCTCACGGAATTAACTAATCGCACAGTCAGATCAGCCAGTCTACCAACGTGATTGCACAAGAGAAAGAAACTATCACTTATAAAAAATTAACTCACTTCATACAAAACAATATATTATTAAACAATCTTACATATCCATTTACATAATTCTTCAATATTAGCTGGTGTATCAGGATTTTTATTAAAAGCATATGACTCTGCAAAGTCAATCTGCGAATCTAAATGCGAAAATTCAAATTCCTTTCCTTGTTTTCCAAGAAAAACATTAGCCAAAGATGCATCTGTAGTTTCTAGCTGACTAGTCTTTGTCATTCGCAACAGATTCATTTCTTTTTCCAACAATGATTTTATCACTGTGCATCCCTTGGCCATTGTCTGATCCTGCTTATTACATAATATAAGAACAGGAACATTCTTTCTTATATAAGAATCAGACAATAAATTATACAAGTACCTGCAGGAGAATAATTAAATATAAAAATGTATGTGTTTCAAATTCATTCTGTTATTAAGTAATTTAAAGTCAAGTTTGTCAAACAATACTCACTCAGCCACATCTTTAATATTCTTTTGAATAGTGACTGAATCAATTACATAAACCAGTCCTTTGGCAGAAGATTTATATTTATCAAAGTATTTGCCACGTAGTCGCTCATCTCCTGGAGTATCTATTATCTTTATAAAACTCTACAATTAATTTTAGTAAAATATAAATATCATATATGTACACACATAAGATATACATATATGTATACATATTTATATACTGTAGAGTTATATATAAGAATATATTACTTATAACTTACATTGTTGATTGGTAAATCTCCTATATTTTCCTTAACAGATGTATATGTATGGACAAATTTGGAACAGAATAATCTTGCATAAATCAATGTTTTTCCACTATCACTAAGGCCTGTCAAGAGGATACTGTGACCAACAGACTTTCTCTTACGCCAGAGTGCAAACAGAACTATATATAAATTTATTAATTAAAAAAAATATAGGTATACATATACAGTAATTCAAGTATAATATATAATTAATCTTATATTGTAAATAGTAAATACAATGTAAAAAAAGCACATGTATCTATCTAATGCTACAATAATCTGACATCAATAAATTTGCAATATTACCTAATGTTATGATAATGGCAAACACAGCAGCCAATATGCCCAGAAACTGTGAATTGCCATTTCCCTCCAGAAGTGATTTTATATATTTTTCCATTATTATGATATGCAACTCTCTTGAGTTTTGCACTTACTCGTGAGCATATGTGTAATGTGAACACATATGCTCTAAAGCCTGTATTAGTCAAACTGTATCACCAGAGAGAAGACTGAGAGCGGCCATGCCATTGTTGTTTTTTGCGACGGTTTCCAGCCGCTACTTTCAGCGCCGGGTTCCACTTTGCGTGGAACTCGCGAACTACGAAACGAGTTCCACTTTCAGGCGCATACAATAAAAATGTATCTCGGTTAGAGTCTGTGCTAAATTCACTTTCATTCGGTTTGAATCCGTGCTACATCCANTTTACTGTCGATAAATAGAACTGCCAACCATCGAGAGCATCGGTGATGGAGACACGCACACAAACGAAACCGTGTCCGTGTGCGTGACGTCCAACGACATGAATGAAAGTGGATATAGCACGGACTTTAACCGAGATACATTTGTATCGTATGCGACCCTTAAAGAGCCGTCTACAATGGAGAGTTGTAGGCCGTAACAGTAAGAAACTGACAAATCACAATCGATTATTCTTCTGTACTTTGCCTGTGATTGGTCAATTTCTTACTATTACGGCCTACAACTCTCCATTGTAGACGGCTCTTAAGAGATCTCCTTCAAAAGCAAAGAGCAGAAGAAATCCTCCTCATAAATAGAAGTTTTCCTGAGAGAAGGCTTGTATCAGCGCGGAAATCGTAAAACCATTCTCATAGAATTGATCAATCACGTTAACTCATTCGAGACCGATTGCACACCGTGTGTGCAATTGATTTCCGAGGCTATAAGACCGGTTGCACACCGTGTGTATAATAATAATGAGCATTTATCAGTTATTCTGAGTAAAGTAATCGTTGAGATAAAACTTTTTTTGAATTAATAGTATCTGTAAAGTATAGAAAAACAAAATTTGGCATTGGTTTTGTATTTTTATTTTATCTTACATTGCACACATGGTGTTCAATCCGCTCCTCCCAATAAAAATTTTCTGAAGAGCGAGCTGCACACACGGTGTGCAATCATCTTATTTATGCGAATTCACTTACGAATTAGGTGATTTCCATAGTAAACAAGTTTTTTTTATTAAAAATGAACAATATGAAGAAAAAAAAATTTCTCTCCTAGGGACCGTGTTCGAAAAAAATCGCCGTCTCGAATGGGTTAAACAAGTAGTTGATCAATGAGATTAGTTAAATTTTATGAGACCTGCGACTTGCGTTTGCGTCTTAATATAAAACGTTTTATTTATAAGAACCAAGTGCAATTTGTACTGTATAATACACACGCATATAACCATGCATATATAATAAAGCTTATTAGATCGAAAAAATTGGTTGTTTTTCAGCTACGTACATAAGCGACACAGGCTGCGTTCGGGGAGCACGCTATCAGCGCTATTGCGTCATTCTATCTTTGTTTTACATCTACTGAGCAATAAAGATAGAATGATGCAATAGCGCTGATAGCGCGCTCCCCGAACGCACCCACAGTGTCCACTAGTGTGAGTGAGACACACTGATACGCTTTTTCTCTCACTAATGGACACTGTGGCTGTTTTCCTTTTAGAAGACACAGTCGACACAAGAGTCATTCTGTCTCTGTTTCTCACTGAATACTGAACAAAGACAGAATGACTTTTGTGTCGACTTGTGTCGACTGTGTCTTCTAAAAGGAAAGCAGCCTGTGTTACACAGTATCGTCTGTGTACGTAGCTGAAAAGCGCCTAATGTTTGCTATTCTTCCAGTATACTATAGGATTCATTGGTCAAACTTGATATCGAGACGTTATAATAATCATAAACAATCTTACCTTTGCACCCATTTTTTCTTCCGAGACGGAGTTTTAGATAAATATCTTCGTCCAGTTAGGCTTCTGTTTCCCATTTCATACACCACTTGTTTCAGGTTATGTACAGTGCGGAGCACCATATCGTGCGCCGTGAGGAGAAGTAGTTCTCCGACTGCCTCCTGCTAGCACGCGCCAGCGGCCCGAGATTTAATCCATATGTACCGGCACGGTTACCGATGACACATACCGACGCGGTTACCAATAATACCGACAGCCATATGTTACCATAAAATTATCGCGAACATTGAAAAGAGTACCTGCATTGAAAAAGTGACTTTAATAATTTATA